AAGAGAGAGAGAGAGAGAGAGAGAGAGAGAGAGAGAGAGAGAGAGAGAGAGAGAAAGAGAGATGTGCTGCAAGAGAGGAATAGAAAGATGCAGAGAGAGAACAAGGAGGGAGAGCATATAAGCATATTACGTACAGGTATGTGTGTTCACGTGCGTGCGTATTGTGTTCTGTGTTTGTTGATTTTGTTTGTGCCACCAATCTGCATGTGTGTAAGAGAAAAAGAAGATGAAATATAAGAAAAATAGGAACTAGAAATTGGCGGAAAAGAAAAAAGTGACTGCTAGGCTTCGCTACCTGGCAGACCGAAAGAGAATAAATTACGTTCTCTTCATTTTGAATTCACACTGCTATCAACACAAATTTGAATATTTACTCGAATTGAAAATAGACAGACTGACAAGTAAATGAACCCCAAAAAATGCAACAAAACATTAGACTTAAAGGTAGAATGTACGTTTTTGAAATGGGGAAAAGACTATTTTTTACCAAGAACTAATCGGAGAATGAGGGGGGGGTCGGGGTTGCATTGCAGAAAATCGTTTTGTTTTGCGTCTTGCGAAAACGAAAAATGTTTCATCTTTCTTTATTCCCAAACTTGTCGCCCTTGTTTTCATTGATAAAGTCAAATACAATGGTATAATTATTTTGTTATTATGGGTTCGCAGTGTGATATGCGTGTATTCTTGTTAAGGAAGCTACATGCAAAGCGCTGAATTGTGTTGCCAGAAAAAGTAAAAGTTGAGACAAGGGAAGAGGGTGGCAACAGTCGTAACTCATAGCAAACAAACACTTTACAATTCGGCTGTTGGGCCATCCTTCTGTTTGCTTCATTTACTTGCGTTGAAGGCACCGTGCGCTTGCAAGTTCGCTTTGGGGATTAGTGTGTTCGAAGGGACGCTACCCCTGTTCTATCACTTTAGAAGTTGGTTTCGTTTCGGTTGCGTCCCCTGACTTGCCAATTGCCAGTTGCAGGGAGAGAATCTTGGTACCGGTACATGATAACAATTTTTCGTCTACTTGAAAATCTATTTTTGTTTTTGTTGTTGTTGTTGTTGTTGTTGTTGTTAGCACTTGTGGTGTGTGTATGAGTGTGTGTTTATGTGCTTGTTTGTGTTTTTTGTTTCTCTTAGTTTGTGTATTTGCGCGTGTGTGTTATGTGTGTGTCTGTACGGTACACTTATATGAGCCAGTGTATCAAAACAATTCTCAATTTTTTATAAAACTGAATCTTAAGCCTCCTTTCTACCTCAATAAGGTCTTCGCTGCTAATTTCCAGAGTGATTTTTATCAAACCTCTTCCCGAAACATATATTGACTTGATATCTCTTATGTTATTACATTATTATTATTATTTATTATTATTATTATAAGCATTAGATGGGCCACGCAAAATTTCGGGGTTTAATTTATAATATCCTGTTGTGGTTGGAATTTTTGTTTTTGTTTTGTTTTTCCATAAATATTTTCTCTCAATTGTGTTATGTGAAACCAAGACATTAACCCCCCACCCCCACACCTCTGCGAAATGAACCACATTGTGCCTACTGTTAAAAAGTTATAAGGCCAAAAATGTCAGTACTGCAGTTTCTTATAGCTTCTTTTGGCTTCATTAAACCGACTTTTTCCCCTGATGTCCAAAAACGAAAGTAAGTTTCCTGTTATTGTTCAAACATACGGGATTGATCAAGACAATAATTCAGAATTTGCCAAATCGGCTACAGCCATCAGGGGGGAGACATGACTGAATGACGGCGAAGATTTACCAGTACCTTGTATTTGCCTACCCAAATCCTTGTGGGGGCCGTCGAGTGTTATTTCCCCTGGGGCCAGGGTATAGCCCCCTCGGTCGACACTCGAGAGCCCAGACCGCTATTTGAACCCGAGCATTTCGGGGGCCCAAATTGAAAGATAACACAGCAAAGGAGACTTTGAATGTATCCGGACAATGCAGGAAGCGGTCCCGATATTTTACAGGACTGTGACAAGGCTTGATACAAACGGGAAAGAAAAGAATTGAGTTCCTGAGGAAATTGCGTCCTTTACTCACACTTCTTGAGGGGAACGTTGAACACAGCGACAGAATAGTTAACTGTTCAGGGACATACAATATCCCATCGTAGGCCTAGTGGAATGAAAGAGAGCTTTATGAAAGCAATAACGAAAGAAAATATCAGGGCTATGCTGACCTAGAACCCTGAGCCTCTCAAAAAGAAAGAATGAAAGAACGTGCAACACGATGTTACAGACAGACAGACAGACAGACAGACAGACAGACAGACAGACAGACAGACAGACAGACAGACAGACAGACAGACAGACAGGCAGGCGGGTAGAGGTGTGGCGAGAGAGCTAGATGGGGGAGTGAAAGGGGGGGGGGGTGAGAGA